ACCCGACCCGCCCGTTAGGGTCCGCCCGCCCGACCCGACCCGCCCGTAAGGGTCCGCCCGCCCGACCCGACCCGACCAGCCCGTTAGGGTCCGCCCGCCCGACAAGGCCCGACCCGACACGCCCGTAAGGATTCTCGCGCGCGTGACTTCGATCATGCACCACACTTTAATGCCCCGCCCGACCCGACCCGACCGTTACGGCCCGCTCGCCCGACCCGACCCGACCCGCCCGCAAGGGCCCGCCCGCCCGACCCGACCCGACTCGACCCGCCCGTTAGGGCTCTCGCGTGTGACTTCGATCACGCAGCACACTTTAATGCCCCGCCCGCCCGACCCGACCCGCCCGTCAGGGTCCGCCCGCCCGACCCGACCCGACCCGCCGGGTAGGACCCGCCCGCCCGACTCGGCCCGACCCGGCCCGCCCGTTAGGGTTCCCGCGTGTGGGCTCGATCATGCACGATACGTTAATGTCCCGCCCGCCCGACCCGCCCGTCAGGGCCCGCCCGCCCGACCCGACCCGACCCGCCCGTTAGGGTCCGCCCGCCCGATCCGACCCGACCCGCCCGTTAGGGTTCTCGCGTGTGGGCTCGATCACGCACCGCACTTTAACGTCCCGCCCGCCCGACCCGACCGCCCGTTAGGACCCGCCCGCCCGACCCGACCCGACCCGCCCATTAGGGCCCGCCCGCCCGACCCGGCCCGGGCCGACCCGCCCGTTAGGGTTCCCGCGTGTGGGCTCGATCATGCACCATACTTTTATGCCCCGCCCGCCCGACCCGACCCACCCGTTAGGACCCGCCGCCCGACCCGACCCGACCCGACCTGCCCGTTAGGGTTCTCGCGTGTGGGTTCGATCACGCACCGCACTTTAATGTCCCGCCCGCCCGACCCGACCCCCCCGTTAGGGCCCGCCCGCCAGACCCGACCCGACCCGCCCGTCAGGGTCCACCCGCCTGACCCGACCCGACCCGCCCGTTAGGGTTCTCGCGCGTGGGCTCGATCATGCACCATACTTGAATGTCCCGCCCGCCCGACCCGACCCGCCCGTTAGGGCCCGCCCGCCCGACCCGACCCGGCCCGCCTGTTAGGGTCCGCCCGCCCGCCCCGCCCCGCCCCGCCCCGCTCCTCCTTGGGGTCCCTGCTGCTCACCCATCCACACGCAGACTCATTCACCCTCACACTGGACCCGCTCGTACTCAGACCGACTCGCGGATGGACTCACGCTCAGACCCGCTCACACTCAGACTCACTCTTGCGCAAACCCATCGTGCGCAGACAGACACACACTCGCACTCAATCATAGTCAAACCCGTCATGTTCAGAGTCGCTCGCCAGGCAAGCGTTCCGTTCCAGACCGCGCTTCCCATACCCACAGGGGGAGGGGCGACTGTGGACATATCCGGGCCCCTGGCGGGACCGACTGCAATGCATCCCCATCCGCCGCTTCCCGAGGTCCAGGCTCCAGGGCTCCAGGGCTCCTAGATGGGGTCGGCGTAGAGGCCTCCTCCTCGTCCTCCTCCCCCTTCTCCTCTCCTCCTTCTTCCTCTTCCTCCTCCTCCTTTTCCTCGTCCTCCTTCTCCTCCTCGTCCTCCTCCTCCTCCTCTCCATCCTCCTCGTCCTACTCCTCCTCCTCCTCTCCATCCTCCTTCCTCTTCCTCGTCCTCCTCTCCATCCTCCTGCATTTCCTCCTTCTCCTCCTCCTCCTCCTCCTCCTCCTCCTCCCCCTCCTCTTCCCTGCCCAAGCGGGTCTGCCCGAACCAAGTGCCGACGTATTCCCACACCCCCAGGTCATTTCGAACCACGACCCCGGGTCTTTCCTACCCAACCAGGTCATCCCAACCAAACGGGCATTCCCAAACCACAACGGCCGGGTCTTCCCAAACAAAGCGGGCCTTCCCAAACCGACTGGGCCTTCCCGAACCACGAGGCACGGGTCTTCCCAAACCAAACTCGGGTTTTCCCAAACCAACAGGGTCTTCCCAAACCGAACGGCCAGGTCTTCCCAAACCAACCGCGTCTTCCCAAACCACAGCCCTGGGCCTTCCCAAACCTCACAGGCCTTCCCTAACAAACCGGGTCTTCCCAAACCACAACGTCCGGGTCTTCCCAAACCAACAGGGCCTTCCCACACCAACTCCCCGGGTCTTCCCAAACCTAAACGGGTCTTCCCAAACCAACCGGGTCTTCCCAAACCAACATCTGGGTCTTCCCGAACCAACCTCCGGGTCTTCCCAAACCAACTCCCCGGGTCTTCCCAAAGCAAACGGGTCTTCCCGAACCAACCAGGTCTTCCCAAACCAACCTCCGGGTCTTCCCGAACCAACCGGGTCTTCCCAAACCAAACGGGTCTTCCCAAACCAAACCCGGGTTTTCCCAAACCAACCGGGTCTTCCCAAACCAACCTCCGGGTCGTCCCACACCAACCGGGTCTTCCCGAACCAACTCCCCGGGTCTTCCCAAACGAACCGGGTCTTCCCAAACCAACCGGGTCTTCCCAAACCACGCGCCCGAGTCTTCCCAAACCAACCGGGTCTTCCCAAACCAACCGGGTCTTCCCAAACCAACCGGGTCTTCCCAAACCAACATCCGGGTCTTCCCAAACGAACCGGGTCTTCCCAAACGAACCGGGTCTTCCCAAACCAAAGCCTACGTCACCCAAGCCCAAGTTTGGTTTGGGAAGACCCGTTTGGTTTGGGAAAGACGCCCCTCCGAAGCCCCTTCCCTTTGATCCCTTCCCCGCCCGGGGGGGGGGTCCCCGAGGGTGGGGTCCCGGGGGGGGGGTCCAGGGGGGGTCCCGGGGGGGGTCCCATGGGGTCCCAGGGCAGAAACGACTCCCCCTCGGGCGGTTCGGCGGCCTAGAAAAGCCGCAGGACGCGGCAAACGTGTTCCAAGATGTCCCCAAGACGATCTTCGAGGGTTCCATAACGCTGACGTATCAGTATAAGTCGCCGAAGTAGCATCCAGATGGCACGAAAGGTTTCCACAACGCCCCAAGAAGCCTCCAAGAGGACTTCCAAGATGGCCTCCAGGAGCAAACATCATAGATTTCTGGTACGTTTTTCTAAGATTTCGGCGTTGTCACCTTGTCCACTGCCCGATACATTAGCCCATCCGCAGCGGAATTCAGCAACGTTGTCATTGAGTCGACGGGGAGCCCCTTCCCTTTGATCACTTCCCCGCGGAGGGGTGGGGGGTCCCGGGAGGGGTCCCAAGGGGTCCCGGGGGCCGGTCCCGTGTGGTGGTCCCGGGTCAGAAAACAACCCTCCCGGGGCGCGTCGGGAGCGCACAACAAAAACGCAAGATGGCCGAGGCCTCCAGGGTCGGCGGCACTGGCCGTAAAGCCTTAGCAATAAATACTAATAATTCGCCAGCCCCCTTACGGGGCCATCAGGCTGCGAGGCTTAGGTTCGCTGCTCCCTGCACCAGTTCCAGTTTCCAATGTCAAAGTGTTGCTGTCTGCTTCTTACTGTAAGTAATTACTGTCCGCGCGAGGGGGAGGGAGCCGAAAACCATATTGTTTAGCGTCCCAAAATCACGTCCTCAGAATTTGGGGGGGTATTGGGACACGGAAAAATACGTGAGATTCGCGCTCCCGACGCAATAGTCCCTCATAAATAACATTGTATTCGCGCCCCCGAGGCCAAGATCCCTAGCAAATGGTATTGCATTCGCGTCCCCGAAGCCACAATGCCTGGTAAAATACACCATGCTCACGCTCCTGAGGCCACGATCCATTGAAAATTGCAGGATGCCGAAGAAAAAGCACAGTCCAAGTTGTTTTAGGGCTACAGGGCTATGGGGCTATTGGGATATAGGGCGATGGGGCTATGGGGCTATAGGGCTGTGGAACTATAGGGCTATAGGGCTATAGGGCTATAGGGCTAGAGGGCCATAGGGCTATGGGGCTAGAGGGCCATGGGGCTCTGGGGCTATAGGGCCATAGGGCTATGAATAGATAGGGCTATGGGGCTATAAACCATAGGGCGATATGGCTATAGGGATATAGGGCTATGGTGTTATAGGGCGATAGGCACACATAGCTATCGGGCCATAAGGGCTATAGGGCTGCACGGCTATAACGCTATAGGGCTGTAGGGCTCTTGGGCTATAGGTTATAGTGCTATAGGGCTACGGGACTATAGGGCTATAAGATATAGGGCTATAGGGCTATAGAGCTATAGGGCTGTAGGGTTCTAGAGCTACAGAGCTCTAGGACGATAGGGCTGTAGGACTATAAGGCTATCAGTCTATAGAGCTATAGGGCTATAGGGCTATAGGGCTATGGGGCTATTGGGCTATAGGGTTATAGGGCTATTGGGCTATTGGGCTATAGGGCTATAGGGCTATGGAAGGATCGAGGAGGAGGATCGAGGATCGAGGAGGATCGGGGATCGAGGAGGATCGGGGATCGAGGTCGGGGATCGAGGAGGAGGATCGAGGATCGAGGAGGAGGAGGAGGATCGAGGATCGAGGAGGCGGATCGACAGCGCAGCGGGAAGGGTAATGCCACCCTCAAACTGCCAGCGCACGGGCGCGTGAGCCCAGCGCGCCGTGCCGCCTCGGCAGCCCCGAGGTGCCCCAGGTGTCGTCGCCCCATATCGCCTCGTCGTGAGCTTTCCCCCCTGAGCCCTGAGCTCGTGTCCTCGTCGTCGCCTCCTCTGCGCACCGCCGGCCAGAAGGCCGCCCTCGTCCTCCCCTGCTCCTCCCCCCCCCTGCTCCTCCTGCTCCTCCTCCTCCTCCTCCTCCTCCTCCTCCTCCTCCTCCTCCTCCTCCAACTCCTCCCTCCTCCTCCTCCCCTCCTCCTCCTCCTCCTCCCTCCTCCTCCTCCTCCTCTCCTCCTCCTCCTCTCTCCTCCTCCTCCTCCTCCTCTCTTCCTCCTCCTCCTCCTCCCTCCTCCTCCTCCTCCTCCTCCTCCTCCTCCTCCTCCTCCTCCTCCTCCTCCTCCTCCTCCTCCTCCTCCCCCTCCCCCTCCCCCCCCCGCTACTGCGCGCCGCGGAGGCCTCTCCGCCATGTCCTTCGGGCGCTGCAGGATCGCCTCCTCCACGAAGTGCCAGCTCCTCCTGCAGAGGGAAGCGCAAGGCCCGAGGGAGCGGCACGGCACGCACGCCCTCCGGAGGGGCCACGCGGATCCCTTGGGCTGGAGGCTGGGCCCGTGCGCGCCAGGGACAGCGCTGGAGGCGCCGCCCGCCAGGTCAGGCCAGGTCAGGTCAGATTCGTTGTCGTCGTCGTCGTCGTCGTCGTCGTCGTCGTCGTCGTCGTCGTCGTCGTCGTCGGCAGAAGCAAGACGTGCATCAGCAAGTCGTGCCGGCAGAAGCAAGGGGATCGCAAAAGGACCCATGCTCGGTAGAGTGCCTACAGCAGGCTCGCGCCTTGTCGACCCCAGCGTCGGTTCCTGACACCGCGGGGACCTTTCAACCAACCTCCCACGATCGGCCATTTCCGAAGCGTCACATCGTTCAACATCGACCGAGTCTGGCTCGCCGTCGGCGTTCCACGTTGAACGCCGGCGGCGGGGTCGCCGCAGGTCGACACGACGCGAACCTGCCCTACCCGTGGAGCTGAAGACCCTCCAGGCCGCCCGTGGGCAGCACCGAGAGACAGCGACGCCAGCTGCTCCCCTGGCCTCTCGCTCGGGGCGCCCTTCCTGCAGGGGGAGCGGCCCCCCGTGCGGGGGGAAAAGTCCGCCCTCATAAAAACCACCCCGACAAGCAAGGCCGTGTAGAGAACGCAACCAGAGAAGGAATCGAACAGGGCCGCGCTGTTTAGAAAACGCCCAAGGCCGTTCAATAAACGCCGAGTATCGGGTCCGGGTGGTTTTTCTTCCCTCGACCCAGAGAGGCCGGTGCCGCCTCGTCCGGCGGTGGAAATCCGCGATTTCCCATGGAAACGGGACCCGTCGTTAATCCACGCCGCCTGCGAGGAAGAGGAGGAGGAGAAGGAGGAGGAGCAGGAGGAGGAGGAGGAGGAGGAGGAGGAGGAGGAGGACGAGGACGAGGATGGGGAGGAGGAGGAGGAGGAGAAGGAGGAGGAGGAGGACGACGAGGACGAGGGGGAGAGGGGAGGGGGAGGAGGAGGAGTTGGAGGAGTAGGAGGAGGAGGAGGAGGAGGAGGAGGAGGAGGAGGAGGAGGAGGAGGAGGAGGAGGGGGGGAGGAGAGGAGCAGGAGGAGGAGGGAGGAGGAGGAGGAGGAGGAAGGAGGAGGAGGGGGAGGGGAAGGGGGGAAGGGAAGGGGAAGGAGGGGAGGAGGAGGAGGGAGGAGGAGGAGGAGGACAAGGACGAGGACGAGGAGGAGGAGGAGAGGGAGGGGGAGGGGGAGGGGAAGGAGGAGGAGGAGGAGGAAGAGGAGCAGGAGGAGGAGGAGGAGGAGGAGGAGGAGGAGGAGGAGGACCTTTACTTTTACCTTTACCGATGGTGCGTGGTGACTGGCAGCAGGGCTAGGCACGCGCAGCAAAGTTACAGATCAGGGAACCTCCCTCCAGATTTCGGAGGCTTCCCTTTTTTAAGGTTCCCGAGGGCTTCTTTCCCAGCTTTCGTGGGTGGGCCGCAAGGGTCCTTCAAGCCTTGTGGGAAAAAAACACAATGCCGACCACAAACCTCACAATACAAAACTTCCCGAAGAGAGGGAAGTTTGTGAGAAGGGTGGCACAACTCAGCAACAGGATGATCGAGACCCCCACCCACCCCGCCCTCAGGAGGCCCCAAGTCATCAGGAGGGCCCTCATAACCTCGGTCTGGGGCCTGCCGCGGAGGAAGGGCACTAATTCGCTGCAGAACTTCAGAGGGAGGCGTACAGACAGCAGGCCAGAATTCACACAGAGGGCCTCGCTTGCTGAAAGAACGGGCACAGAGGGAACACTTCAACGTCGTGGACATTACGGCACAGTTGTGGCCCGAGTCCCGCAGCCTACAGAGCCTCTCGTCAAGGCTACGCAAAGAAGTCTTCGCACGACTGCTTTGCGGGCGATTTTTGGGCTCACGGTCCGAGGAAAACAGCACCTCCCTTCTGCGCAGCAAGGAGGCGTCCAAGAACCTTGGAAGCCCGCTCATCAGCATGGACCGTAATCCTGGTGTGTAGATCTGACACCTGGCCAGCATCAGCGGCCTTGCCCGCGAAACAATCAGCAGCCCGATGAATATAGACCTCTTCAGGGGTCATGCACATATGGAATATTTGGGACGGGGTGGGGTGACCTTTTGTCCATCGAACTTCAACGGTGCCGCCACGGGACCTCAAGGTCCTATGGTCGACTGCCCAGAGATCCAACATGGAGGACTTCGCTTTACGCTTGAGGGACTTCCTGACACCCCGAACCACAGCTGAACAATCGCAGTGTACCTTCACATCACCAGTAGACCTTTCGAGCAACTGCATGAGAGAAAAAAGCTCGGCACGGCCAGCGGTCTGGACCGCGGTGGGCAAGGCCCCGCTGACAACTTAGCAGCAGGGGGCCCACGCACCTTCTGCCACCGATGTTTCGTTTTACTGAAAGCTTCCACCACAAGATTCCAACACCGAGCAACTTCCATATGTCGTTTATAATCCAAGTTAAACCAAACCGAGTGGAAAGCAAGCAGCTGCCTATAGCGAAACCTAAACTGGGGGTCATCTTCGGCCAAGCTCACTATTCCCAGGACCGATGTCGCGCAGGCCCCAGGGGCCCACCAAACCGAGCACATGGCCGCTTGAGCCCTCATAGATTGGATCTGGCCCCCAGTGAGGCCTAGGGCCCGGTGATTCCAGGAACCGACCGCCAGAACCCCAAGTCTGCAGCTTCCTAGCCCCACCAACAACACGACTCAGAAAGGCGACATTCCTGGCCTTCTCGCAGGCCTGGCTGCGCCGCTGCTTCAATTTAAGAGTGGGCCTTTTCTTACCGGCCGTCGTCATGACCCCCAGATCGCGCGCCAAGTCCTGGAGCTCGATAGGGAGGCCAACTACTCTGAATCTCGCAGCAAGCTGCTTGCCAAGGCTGCTGTGGCTGCACACCAGGGCAGACTTGGCCGGGATAGTGCACCCAAGGCTCTGAAGCTGGTGGGTGAGATGCACGGCAGCAGGAACGAGGGCGGCAATAATGTCATGTTCGGTGCCACGTTGGGATTGCGCGATGTCATCAACGTATCCTTTCACCTGCACTGGCTTGTAATGAACATGAGCACAATCAAGGATATCGCAAACATAGATTTTCACCCAGGACATGGCTTGCATGCAGCCTGCTAAAATTTCAGTTCCTCCTTCAATACGATCGGAAACATAACCGCCAACTTCAAGGATACGTGGGGCTTCATGAATAATGATGCCTAAGTCGAGCAAGTGCAAAGGATACTCCATCTTTACCGCAAGTTCGATCAGTTTGTGCGGCTTCACAGAGTCAAAAAACCGGGTCAGGTCCCAATGCGCACCAACCGAGCACAGGCCGGGCATTCCGGCGACCTCGTGTCCTAGCTCTCAAGAGAGCAGCCTGAGTGGCACTCGATCCTCGTATGGCAGCGCCCCCCAAAAAAAACCTTTCCGGACTCCATTTTTCCATATCGTGGTTACGAGTTGCGCAGTGAACTCGATAAAGGGTGGTGCATGTGCAAATTGGCCTGCCACATTCAATACTCTTAGGGGGGAGAGCAATCACACTCAGCAGGGCCTGAGTATGCCAAGTCATATGTCGCTCGCACTGGTTGAGGAGACGAGTGCGCCCCACAACGGCATCCCTGGGGAGGCCCAGGACACTACGGGGGGCCCAATGATCAACCCCAGCAGCAATCTCAGCCGAGAAGCATCTGCCCCCCCCCCCCCCCCCCCCGAACATCACTCGCGGTGAGCGGTTCAAGCTGCTCGGCAGCAAAGCTCAACGCGAGGGGCCTCAGGGTGTCCAAAACTCCCGACAGGTTAGCTCGAGCGTCGGAGGAGTCCCAAACACGAGTCCAACATTCAGAGCGACGCTGCATCATGTCTACAGGCAGCTGTTCAACGCCAGCTGGGGAAACCCAAACCTGGGGGGCGCCTCCTAAATCGTTTTTCAGCCAAGCAGGAACTTTCTTGGCGCCCTTGGGGAGCGCCTTAAAGAGCCAATGTTTCATCCCACCTTTAGAGGGCGCCCGTGCTGCTGACTGCGCAGCTCGCAGGCAGGTAGAGATCGCATCAGACAGGTCGTCAAGCCTGGCCACCTCCGCGGGCGCCTCGCTCAACTGGGCCTGCCACCATTCAAGGCTATGGGGAAAATCACCATGTAGATACTGGCCAATCTAATATGTGAGGCTTTGCAAGTGAGCGCCTATGCTGCTGAGCATGCGCGTGGATTCCCGTGCCACTCATTCGGCACTCAGACCATGTCTGGGAGAGGTGGGCCCAAAAGGCCAGGGCAGGTTCACGAGAACTCTGGCCCTCGGGACCCCTCCGAGCAATGGTGGTGGTCTTGAAGGCAGGGAAATCTCCGCGATGAGCACAGCTACCTTTCAAGTCACAAGCGACCGCGCGGGACTAAAGCATGGCCTCGGCCGCCCTGGACCAGAGCAAGTACTCACTGGTAAGGTCGTCGTTCAGATGATCACTCAGGTGCGGCAGCAGAGCAGACTGCAAAACACGTGGTCCGACCGCCTGTCCTGGGTCTGGTAACTGTACCAAAATCTAGCTCCAGGGCAAGTCAGGACCACTGCAAACTGGAACAGGAAGAGGCCGCAGGCGTTTTCACATGTTTTGTGTAAGAGCTTCATACTTCAATAATACCGCCAAACATACATGGGTCTTGAATGGGGCATAGGGTATAGGTAGATACTGCAACATATTCTCCAATATCAGCTGAGACTATCACAGTCGATCAAGGTGCCACACCCCTGGGCACAAGTCACTTCCACGTCGGTAGGTTCAAGAACACGGGCTCGCGCCAGTTGTGGAAAAATCACATCAGCTGGTGGAAGCTTAAAGTCACCCGTGAGCATCCAAGAAATGGCCAAGGACCCCAAGAACTCCGCAACGGCCCGCATTGGTTCGATGTTTTCCTCCGAAAAACCCAAGTCCGAGATGAGGTAAATCACTCCTACAAGAATAACTCGATTGCGTTTCTAATCCGAAAAAGTACCAGTTCGGGCCCATGCCGAAATCTTGAAGGCCCGAGTCACAGGCCAGAAACCTCCCAAAGCAAAGTCCTTCCGAAACCACTCCCCCCACTCCTCCCCGGGTACCCCCCCCAGGGGAAGGGGGGGCAGGAGTCAGACAGGGCCTCCGGCCCATCTGACATGCATTGCGCTGAGCTTTGGCCAAGTCCCTTGGCCGCAGGTGATGCTCAGCAACAAGGAACCCGTCGCACGGCGGCTCGATCTGCTGCAGGAAATCCAGCGTCACCTGGTACCATGACGTGATGTTGCAGAACAGGACATCGATGCTGTCCACGATCCTCCGCGCAAGCTTGGACTTGCCATAGGTGCTAAACCTGCTGCTGTGCACCGGCGGCGCCAGACGCGGCAGCTGGGGCGGCGCCTCCAGGAGGGGCCGCGGGCACGCCAGCTGGAGCGCGGGCGGGCGCCATAGGAGGGGCGCCAGCGGGTGCGCCTGATGCAGCAGCAGGGTGTGGAACTCCAGCTCCAGGTTGTAGCTCTTGCAAGACCTTCTCGAAGGATGTAGACGCATATTCTCGGACCGACTTGCGTCGCTTGGCAGCCTTGATGGCAGACTGCTTCTGCATGAGCTTCCCCATGCGGTCCAAGTCTTCAGTGCTGAGCGCGGTCTCAATACTGTGCTTCCGTAGAGTATCCAATTCTTGTCGGTTGGTGCCCTCATTGGTAACGTGACTAGCACCATCAGACGTACCATCGTCATCAATCCGCAGCTTGAAGTCACGGATCTGCTTCCAAAGTTCGTAGCGGGTGTTGGCCGTGCGCCAAGCCTGCAGCATCTGTTCGTCCATGTAATTAAAATTGGTCGGGATAGCTGGCATGGCCGCTGCAGCCGCCTGCGCAGGCTGCTGCACGTTGGGAGCAGCAGGCGCAGCGCGCGGGGCGACTTGTCCAGGGCCAAAGCATGCAGGAACACGCCCAGGAACTGGAGCTTGGCCGTGTGCAGCCTGTTCAGGTGGTGCTTGAGCGCAAGCGGCGGCGGCAGCAGCAGCTTCCCGTTGAGCCATCGCCGCAGTCTCACGCTCAGCACGCTCATCAGCCATGATCTGGTTACGGTACTCGCCAGGATCGAAACTGATGATCAGCAGCATCAGGAGCACCGCCTCCTTGATGCGGGAAATCTGCATGGCACTTAGAGCAGTTGGGGTGGCCGTGGCACGCGTGCTCCCAGTGCCCGCACTTGGAGCAGACTCTGTAGTCGTACACCTGCTTGGGCTTGGAGCGACGTACACCATTGTGAGGCTTGCGCCTGGCCCAAGGATCATAGTAATAGTACACCATTGCCCAAGAAACTGCTCAGGGCAAAGCGGGGTGCTCCACCAGGAGCTCACGTGTAGGAAATCCGTCTGTACCGTTGACATGTGCGCACAGCAGTGCAAGGGAAAATGTATTCCTCAGCGCAGACCCTTATGTCGCGGGCCGAGCCTGACACTGAGGAAGCTTGACCTCTGTGCCACCTCGAGAAGATGGCTACTTAAGCCAAAATGGCTACGGGGAGGAGGAGGAGGAGGAGGAGGAGCAGGAGGAGGAGGAGGGGAAGGAGGACGAGGAGGAGGAGGAGGAGGAGGAGCCCCCTTTGATCCATGTTTGCGATCGCCCGCATGCGGGCGTGGCCCCAGGCAGGCGTGGCCGCTGCTGCGCGGCCTGCCGCTCGCGGAACGCGCGATGTGGGGCCGCAGCGGCCTGCGCCCCACACGAGCGTCAGGTCGGGCATGCCCAATTACAGGCGGGTTTGGGACGATTTCTTTCAAACAAAAAAAACGGAAACCCTAAACACACATACTACAACAAAAACTCCCCTGACGATTTTTTGACTATTTGGGAATATCCGCCCTGTAGGGAGGGCAGGCCCGACTTAACACAAATCGCAAGCGATGCGACCGCCGATCGCCGCGCGATGCGGCCGCAGCGGCCTGCGCGCCCGGCCCGGCGGAAGCGACGTGGGCCCAGGGGCGCCAGTCCCACGAGCCCTCCAGGCGACAGGTGCTCTCACGAGGGTCTCCTTCCTCTTCCACGACCCCTCTTCCCTTCGGGGAGGGGAACCCCTCCCCCTCCCCTCCCTGAGGTTCTGTGGGAAGGGGTCGCGAGGTGTCGGAGGCTCCTTCCGTGGGGAGTGCCAGCCGAGGACAGGGAGGTGCGAAGAGGCTCCCCACAGGAGCGAAGGTACGGTTCACGACGAGCCCACCAGAGGAGTACTAGGCCCCCCCCAGGGAAGGGTGCGTGTGTGTATGTGTGATTATTTTTTATTTCTGAGCCCCACAGAAGCCGCGCACCGGAATAGGACAAACAACACACACATAAGTATAAACATGTGGCGTTTTTTTGTGTGTTGTATCCAAGAGGCATATGGCATTTCTGCTCGCCCTGCTCCTCCTCCTCCTCCTCCGCCTCCTCCTCCTCCGCCTCCTCCTCCTCCTCCTCCTCCTCCTCATCCGCCTGCTCCTCCTCCGCCTCCGCATCCTCCTCCTCATCCGCCTGCTCCTCCGCCTCCGCATCCTCCTCCTCATCCGCCTGCTCCTCTGCTCGCCCTCCTCCTCCTCCTCCGCCTCCGCATCCTTCCTCCTCCCTCCCCCGCAGAAGCTGCGCAACAGCGGCCACCCACTCTGCCGGAGGGCCACTCCCACACGCAGCTGCGCAAGCCTTCGCAGGGCCGCGCGGCTCCCCCCGGGCCGGCGCAGGGCCCTCGCGCCAGGGCCGCCGCCCGTGGGTGCCCCAGGAGGAGGGGGAGGGGGAGGGGGAGGGGGGGGAGGAGGAGGAGGGGGAGGAGGAGGAGGAGGAGGAGGAGGAGGAGGAGGAGGAGGAGGAGGAGGAGGAGGAGGAGGAGGAGGAGGAGGAGGAGGAGGAGGAGGAGGAGGAGGGGAGGGGGATGAGGAGGAGGAGGGGGGAGGAGGAGGAGGAGAGGAGGAGGAGGAGGAGGAGGAGGAGGAGGAGGAGGAGGAGGTCGGTGCCGCTGCCCACCCAGGCCTCTCCCGGCTCCTGGCGGGCGCGCAGAGGGGGCGCGCGGGGGAGGGGCGAAGGCCTCCTGGAAGGAGGCTGCTTCTTAGAGGGCGCCGGCCCTGCATCTGCAGACAGGGCCGGCAGAGCAGGGGGCTGCTAAGAAGCCTTCCCCCCTCCCCCTGCCCCCCTTTGCGCGCCGCCCGTGGGGCCGACATCCTTGTCGAGGACGACCGACGACGACGACGACGACGACGACGACGACGACGACGACGACGACGACGACGACGACGACGACGACGACGACGACGACGCCTGCGCAAGGCTGAGGTTCGCCTTCTGACCAGGATTTTCCAGCGAGTTCAGCCGTGGAGGCGAGGGACGAGTGCCGGAGCGGTGCCGATGCTGAGAGGAGGAGGAGGAGGAGGAGGAGGAGGAGGAGGAGGAGGAGGAGGAGGAGGAGGAAGAGGAGGAGGAGGAGGAGGAGGAGGAGGAGGAGGAGGAGGAGGAGGAGGGGCAAACGCCGACTCCAGAGATCCGCCTAGGTGTCTGAACGTTCGTGCTTCTGTTGCCACAACGTCTCCGGCTCGAAATCCGACGGCGAGCGATGGGGGTGAAGTGAGAAGGAGAAGGCCTTCCGCGAGGGCGTCTGAACGTGTGTTTATGCTGCCAAAACGTCCCTGGCACGAAGTCCGACGGCGAGCGATGGGGGGGAAGTGAGAAGGAGAAAGCCTTCTCAGAAGGCGGCGGGACTTCTCAAAGCCCTCGGGCCTTCTGAGACATGTTCTGTGCCACCGCGGAGGGCTCGGGAAACTTCTCAGAAGGCCGGGGGGACTTCCGAGCCTTCTGAGAAGGCCCTCCCCGTCTCACGTCCCCCCTGGGCTCGCCGCCGAGAAGTGCATACCCGAGTGACTCCGAGGGAGGGGGCCACCCAACGCCTCCAGAGCACCTCTCCTGCGGCCCGGAGGGCCCTCTTCATTGTGGCTCCAGGAGTGAAGCTGGGGGCCCACCTGGGGCCACGCACGCCTTCGTCGGTTCCCTGGGGCCGGCGTTGCGCCCCGAGCGGCTGTCTGACGGCCCCGAAAAGCCCGGTTTTCCGAGCCCGTGCGTATATCTTGTTCGCAAGATGACCCAAGACGTTCCTCGCGAACCAAAAAAAACGTTTTGGTTCGCGAGCCCAACGTCTTGGTTCGCGAGCCCAACGTCTTGGATCGCGAGGGAAAGCGAGGAACCAAAACGTTGTTTGGTCTCCGCGTATATTTTGTTCGCGAGGATCAAAGCGTTTTTTGGGGGGGGGTTGCTCGGCGATGACCCAAGGCGATCCTCGCGAACCAAAAACAAACACTCAGGTCCTCGCCGAGCAAGCAAACAAAACAAAAGCAAACAAAAAAACACGTCCGAGCGGCGCCGCTCTTCCCAACACGCGGGAGGTCTGGGCCGCCTTCGCCCCGGTCGCGGAAAGGCGCACGGCGCACATGCTGCCGAAGGCAGACCACACCCGCCCACACCCATGGGATGGTCATAGGAACCCAAACGTGATGGCGTCGTGAAAGAATCAGGGCGGGAAGTTTTCCGCTATTTTCGGCCCCTGGGGGCCCTCGCCGGGCCTCGGGACCGTCAACAAAACGACTCAGGATGAAAAGCCCGTCCCAAGGAAAGGGTCTGGACTTCTGGGGACGCCCTCCTGAAAAAATCAGGACGTCGCATGTCAGGGAAGAGGACTCTGGAGGCGCGCAAAGCGGGTACGGGGGAGGGGCGAAAGCTTCTTAGAAACACCCTACTTCTTGGAAAGCCCCAGCCTTACATCTACAGATAGGTCGGCGGTGGAGAAACCTCCCTTTAGTAAACCACCCTTTGATGAAAACGGCCTAGGACCGAAACCAACGGACATGGACCCGCAAAGAAGAGGCCGCGACGCCCTCTCGCGAACAGATAACGGCCAATTCGCTGATCGACGTGTCAGGGTAGGAGGTCGAGCAACCTCCGAATAAGACGAGGGCCTTCTGAGAAGTAGGGGTGCTTCTGAAAAGCCTTCCCCCCCCCCCTGGGCGGTGGACTGGCTAGGGGTATGTGCGCGGGTTGTCGGACCCTGGGGAGGGAGGCTCCCGTTCGAGTGGGGAGCCCCCTCCGACAGCACGCACCCACAGCCCCCTCCCCTCCCCCCCCCGTGGGTATGGGTGCGCTTGGGTCGGGCATGTCCGCCTACAGGCAGATCTTGGACGAAAGATAAAACATACCCCCACAAATACTCAACGACACACAACAAATCGTGACAATAAATCGTCCCGAGACTATTTTTTGAATATCTTCGAATGCCCCCCCTGTAGAGGGACAGGCCCGACTTGCCGGTGCGCGGCGTTCGCTCGTGGCACGTGGCATCGACCGGGGCGCGGAGGCGCCCACGGCGCACCCGCACGGGCGGAAGAGCGCCAGCGGCGGCCGCGGGGAGCCGACCTCCTTTGCCGGCGACGCCTGGGGGCCGTGCCTTTTTTTTGTTTTCTTTTGGGGGGGGGGAAGGGAGCCTGTTTTTTTTGTTGGGGGGGGGGGGAGGGGGGGGGGGAGGGGAGCCTGTTTTTTTTTTTTTTGGGGGGAGGGGGGGGGGGGAGCCTGTTTTTTTTTTGGGGGGGGGGAGGCCCAAAGCTGTGCGGTGACCGTGCGGCGACCTCGACATCCCGAAGGACCTCACCCCTCTCGGCGGCGCGCAGGGGGGGGGTAACGAGGGAGGGGCGAAGGCTTCTTCTCAGGAGGCCGCTTCTCAGAGGAAGGCGCCGGCCTTGCATCTACAGATCAGGCCCGCGCCTTCGAAGAAGCAGGGGTGCTTTCCAAGAAGCCGTCCCCCCTCCTCCTCCCCCCCCCTTGCGCGTGGCTGAAAGACCTCACCCCTCACCGCACGGCCCGTCACCGCACGGCGTTGGGACCTCGGAAACCCCAGCCGCACCGAGACATACTCCCCAGTCCTTAAGCCCGTGCGGCCAACACCCGGATCCCCACTGACTGACGACACTGTGTGGTCACTGCACCGTGGTTTTCGAGTCAAGCTGGTGGCTCGGGCGTCTGTTCAGGAGGATCCCCTCCCTGGCGCGCAGAGCGCGCCAGGGGCGGCGCCAGAGGCGCCGCCAAGGGGGTCCAGCGCGGATCCAAGAAATTCGCACGCAGCGCCAACAGTTTATGTTTACAATCGGGCCGCTGAAAGAAGGAACGAAGCCCCTTCTTGGCCCTGTAAGCGCCTCCGTGCCCCGGGAGGGCAAGAGGAACAGCACTGGAAGAACCTAAGGAACATCGAGCCCCTTCGGAACCCAAACTGTTCCTTCAACGTCTTGACTGTATGGCGCTTTTTCTTCTTCGACGACAACCCTTGCAAACCCCGCCGGCTCGCCGCAGGCTTTGCTCCCCGAGTCCTCGTCGCGGCACGCTGAGGTTGACATTAACGACGACGACGACGTCGACGACGACGTCGATGACGACGTCGACGACGACGTCGACGACGATGTCGACGACGACGACGACGACGACGACGACGACGACGAGTCCTCGCCGCGCCCGCTTCCATGAGCTCGTGCCCGGGCTGGCGGAGCGCCGGCCTTCCGAGCATCGTTTTGACGGATCCCCATCCCCAGCGGCGCGGCCTGGGCCCCACTGGCCGACCTTGCCCCCCCAGATGGGGATACGGGCCGTTCCCTTCGGGTTTCGAGGGGCATCTCCCCAGCTGGGGTGGTAATTTGGTGGGGGTCTCGAAAGGGGGTGAGGCTGGGGCTGGCCATCGCTCGGACGTCCCTTTCCTGCGTTTTTTTCGGTTTCGTGCGTGTTTTTTTCGCCAAACGGTCGAGGATGCTCCTCGAAGGTCCTCGCCGAGAAAAAAATGCAGACGTCCGAGCGATGCCAAGTGGGGATGGGGCCCGGTGAAAAACGATGCGGACCTTCCCAGATCCTCGGGCACGGGGCCCGCCAGCTGCAGCAGCTGCTCGATCAGGGCCGGCACGTGGTGCGCGGGCTGCGCCGTGCCCAGCGCCCTGTCCACGGCCTCCTCGGGCACATCGCAAGCGGCTGCAGGACGCCACGGTGTAATCGACGACGACGACGACGCCGACGACGACGACGACGCCGACGACACCGACGACGACGACGCCGACGACGACGAAAACGCCGACGACCACGACGACGCCGACGACGACCACGACGACGACGACGACGACGCCGACGACTATGACGACGACGACGACGACGCCAGTCAATACTAGAAGCTGCCGGTGCGAGGACCCAGGGCTAAGACGCCCCTTGCGCGGCGTCAAGGCCAAACAGTGCAATCTGCGCATAAGGTACCAGGACGCACAAAGCCTCACTGTCACTGGTTGAAGGAAGCCTGTGGGTTGTGTTGGTTGCAAGGTGGCGCGATACCATCGAGGGGCTTGCACAATCTGGGCCCAACCCAAAAGCCCTTGCCTAGCCTCAGAAAAAAAAACATGATCGACCCACGAACCCGGAAAGGAATATTGAAATGTAACGCATGGCAGCGTTTTCAAAGGCACCCGATTGGGTGACGGGCAAATGCAATGCTGAGTGTATCGATCTTGATGTACCCTGCCGAGGGCTGTCCTGTGCTGCGCCGTGCTGAATTGCGATGTGCCATGCCGCGATTGTGCTCTATAGCGTCGTGGATAGAGTCCTCCTTTGCATCCGAGTCCTGACCGAACTGATCTGGATCTTAAGCTCGAGCTGCCTAAACACATAGTAGCTGCCCCAGAGCTAATTGACAGGGGGACATGCCAGGAGGACGCGCCGCGGAACGTCTCAAGGGACGCGCCGAGCGACGTGCCAGGGGACGTGCCATGGGGTCGCACCGCGGACGTGCCAAGGGGACGCGCTACAGAACGTGCTGGGGACAAGCGTTTCGCTCGAGACATCCTGTCAACATCCTCATGTTAGACATCCGCCTGAGCGACCTGGACACGTGAAAACAAGCGTTTCGCTCAACACATCCTCAACACATTCTCATGCTAGACATCCGCCTGGGCGAACTGGACACGTGAAAACAAGTGGTTCGCTCGAGACATCCTCAACACATCTTCATGTGAGACGTCCGCCTGGGTGACCTGGGCACGTGAAAACAAGCGTTTTGCTCGAGACGTTTTCAACACCTCCTCATTCTAGACATCCGCCTGGGCGACCTGTACACGTGAAAGCAAACATCTCGCTCGAGACATCCTCAACACATCTTCATGTTCGACATCCGCCTGGGCAACCTGGACACGTGAAAGCAAGCGTATCCCTCGAGACATTCTCAACACATCCTCATTCTAGGCATCCGCCTGGGCAACCTGGACACGTGCAAACAAGCATCTCGATCGAGACTTCCTCAACACATTCTCATGCTAGACATCCGCCTGGGCGACGAGGACGCGTGAAACCAAGCGTCTCGCTCGAGACATCCTCAACAAATCCTGGCGCTAGACCTCTGCCTGGGCAACCTGGAGGCGTGAAACCAAGCGTCTCGCTCGAGACATCCTCAAGACCTGGGCACGTGAAAACAAGCATTTCACTTAAGAGATCCTCTGAATTCTAGTCCCCAAGAAAGGACAACCTATAACACAAAACAAGCGTTTTGCTCGAGACATCCTCAACATATTCTGAAACACAAACGTTTCGCTAGGGACATCCTCAAACTTTAGTTCGCCGGCCCACCTCGACCTCGATATTCATCGCAAAAAAAAATTCGCCGGCCCACCTCAAGTCAAACCCGGGGGGGAACAGACTAGGGGAGAGCCCTGGGCTTAGAAGCCCCTTCCGGGAAAGAGGGCGGCATGGGCAAAAGACCTCTGGGAGGTCTGCGCGGACTTCTCGGATCGGCATTGGACCCCCCCTCCCTGGCTTGCGGAGCACGCCAGGGGCGGCGCCGGAGGCGCACCGGGGGGGGGCCCGGCGCCGACCGGAGAAGCCCGTGCGCACCTCCGAAAGTTGATGGAAGCACGCCGCCGATCCTTCTTCGGCTGCATTCCGCGCCGGCCTCCAACAGTTCGTCATCACGCCGTCGCTCCTCCCCCGATTTGGGGGGCATCCCTCAGGGCCCCTTCTTCGACCCCCCCGGCTCCCGGAGCACGCTCTCGACGTCCACGCCGTGGGCGGGCGCGGGCGCATCCGGCAGCGTGGACCGCCTGGCGAGGTGGCGGCGGAAGCCGTCCCGGTCGTAGAGGAACTGGACGGCGACCTGGAACACGGCCCTCGCTGGCCATTCGGCCTCCTTGGACAGGAACTCGCGGGCCGCGCTCGCGATCTCGGCGGTCTCCTCCTCGATCCCGTGTTCCCTCTTGTAGTCGACGTACTTCTCGGCCACCGCCTGCATGACCGACACCCCCGTGTGCTGGAGGATGAAGTTCAAGAAGCCATTAGCGCTCCGCTCACCGTCAAATATTATCGGTGAGTCCTTCTGGCCGCTGACGAACAGCTTGATGACGGGGATGAAGTTTTCTGGGAAGTACGCCTGGTCCTTCTCGTTCTCGTCGGTGTCCATGATGCACACCAGGACGTCAGGCACGTCTTTTAGGTGGCGGGCGACCTCGTACACGTGGGGCTTGAGCTGGACGGAGGGCCCGCACCAGTCCGCCGTCAGGTACACGAAGACGTGCCTCGAGCTCTTGACGACCAGCTCCTGGGGGGACCACCAGGGCACCGATGGAGCCACTCCACGGGCCCGCTTCCCACGGGCCCTTTCCCACGGGCCCTGTACTTTTCATACTGATGAGTCGTTCTCAGATCGCCCCAGGGCCAGGCAGGCCCCCCCCGCTCCCGGGGACGAAAATGGCCGAGCACCTCCGTCGTGATCTCTGCTCACGGCGCGAGGGGGTCTGGGCTCGGGGGTGAAGAGTCGGCCCCGCGGACCTGCTCGCTGTGTTCAGAGGACCTCGAGCAGCGGCATCGCGACGGCAGGTTCGTGCCGTGACGACTTGCGCTGTGGTGTCTGACACGCCTCCTCCTCCTCCTCCTCCTCCTCCTCCTCCTCCTCCTCCTCCAACTCCTCCTCCTCCAACTCCTCCTCCTCCTCCCTGTCCTCCTTGCCTCCTCCTCCTCCTCCTCCTCCTCCTCCTCCTCCTCCTCCTCCTCCTCCTCCTCCTCCTCCCCCTCCGCCTGGCTCGTTCCAACCTTGATTGAGCGCGGCCCTCTGGTAGCGCAGGTCGCTCGATGACCAGCCGCGTCTGGCCGCTGGCGGCGCGCAACCCTGAACGTCCGCGCCTGGGGTCGCCGGTCGCCAACGCCGCGTCGGCACGACACGAGCCCACAGCACCTCCTCTGCCTCCTCCTCCTCCGCCTCCTCCTCCTCCGCCTCCTCCTCCTCCTCCTCCGCCTCCTCCTCCTCCTCCTCCCGCCTCCTCCTCCTCCTCCTCCTCCGCCTCCTCCTCCTCCTCCTCCTTCTCCCCCGAGCTCCTGGAAATTGTCGTTCACCAGCACCGTCACGCCAGGGTGCTTCGGGTCCAGGTCGCCGGGCAGCCGCGTGCCCGACTTGAGCCGCACGGCGCCGCACTTCCAGCACTTGCGCTGGCCGGGAGGGTTGCGGGTGACGCGGCCCGTCCGCTCGCAGGGAGACCTCCGGCAGAGCCACACGCCACGCGGCTGGTGGATGGCGAGCACCTCCTCAGGAGGAGTCAAAGCCAGCACAAGTATAAGCCCTCGCCCCCCCCCCTTGCGGCGCCTCCAGCGCCGCCCGCGGTGGCTCCGCGCGACAGAGAGGCGCCGGTCCAGCGCCCTGGGTCGAGAAGGCCTTGAGCAATCTGAGCTCAAGCTAAGAGCCCTTTCCTATCCGGTTCAAAAGGTGAGAGTTCTTTAGTCGGCGTTTCGACGCTGGGCGGAACGAGGGGGGGGGAGGAAGGGGGTCTGGCTCGAGACCTCTGCTTAGCGCGGCTGTTGGCGATAGTGCGCCCCGTGAGGGGAGGCTCCGCCTGCTCGAAACCTGCGCCCCAAACCGCCAAGATCTACTCCATGGGGGGGGAGGGGGGGGGGAGGGCCTGCGCCGATCGGCAAACAATGCATAACAGAAACGATCACGAGGACGAAGCAGCACGCCACGCCGCAGCGCACCAGAGAGGCGGCCCCCGCACGCGCTCGCTCTGGCGGCCCGGGCAGCGGAGAGCATATGCGCAACACGAGCCGGCGGCAGGAGGAGGGGGGAACAGCGGGCGAGAGCGGCCGCGAGGGAAGGGTTCTTGGATGGCGCATCGGATTCGCCTGGCGACAGTCAGAGAAGAGCGAGGGAGAGAGGGAGGGAGGGGAGGGGAGGGCACTGGCGGGCGAGAGCGGCCGCGAGGGAGGGGTTTTTGGCTTGCGCATCGGATGCGCCTGGCGACGGTCGGAGAAGAGCGAGGGAGGGCGGGGAGGGGAGGGCACTGGCGAGAGCGGCCGCGAGGGAGGGATGGGGAGGGGAGGGCACTCGCCCACCGACGCCACGGGCCGTGGCGCCCAGCAGCCCGGCGAAGAAGAAAACCAGGAGGGCGCTCGCGCGGCGCGGCGCAGAGAAACGCGTGAGCAGGCGTTGTCGCAGGCCTGCGCGGCCGTCTGGGCCCTTTGCGCCGGGCTCGCCCCCCTCCCGGGCGCGCGGGGCGCGCGCCGGCGGGGGGCCCCAGCGCCGGCGAGGAAGCCCCGCGGACCTCCGCAGTTGTATGTTCACACCGGCTTTCTGAGGAGAGCAAGTGTCGTGTTGGCAGGAAGGGGTTGGGAGGATGAGAGGCGTGAGCAATGGCATCCGGATGCAATGAGCGATACCTTCGGCCGCCTGCGGGTGAGAATCTCCTCATGTTTCCCCAGCCCCATCCTCCCAACCCGATCATTACCTCCCTGACTTTTGAGGCCGAGAACGACGTCAAGAAACGGTTGGCTCGGGAAGCGCCCCAGGAGTTTTGGGGCATCTGGCGGCCCTCGTGTCTGGAGCCCGCGCGGGACAGAAGAAACACAACAGGAACGATTGGAACGGACCATCATCACATGAATTGCCCAAATCTCAGCACGTAGCCCACCCAGAGCGTGTTGACACGGAGCTCAACACGTAAATTGAAAACGCGCGTTTGGCGTGATACGTTCACCAAACGAAGGCCAACGCGTGCCCAGACAACGCGCAGCGTGTTCAACCCACACGTTTGAACATGGTACGCGTTATGTGGCAACACGGGCGTACCATGGAGGAACAACCAACAGCATGAACACAAACTCTCGGCGGTCCGCGCGGACTTCTCGGACTCGCGTTGGGCACCCCTCCCTGGCGCGCGGAGGGCGTTAGGGGTGGCAGCGGAGGCGCCGCCAGGGGGGGCCCATCGCGGATCCAAGAAATCCGCGCGCGGAGCTCGGACCGTTTCTGTTCATGCCGTTCTTCTTTCCCCGATACCAGGGCCGCTAGCATGAGGAGGTAGGAGCGGGAGGGAGGGAGGGAGGAGGGGGGCGGAGGCAGGAACAGGAGGAGAGAGGGAGGGAAGGAGAGAGGGAGGGAGGGGAAAGGAGGAGTGAGGAGGAGGCAGGAGGAGGGATTAGGAGGGAGGAGGAGGAGGAGGAGGAGGAGAGGAGGAGGAGGAGGACGACGAGGAGGAGGAGACGAGGAGGAGGAGGAGGAGGAGGAGGAGGAGGAAGAGGAAGGAGGAGGAAGAGCAAGGAGGAGGAAGGAGGAGGGCAGCTAAAAGCTGGCATGACTTGTTGCTGCCATCTTGTTCTTGCCCTTCTTGCTCCTCCGCGGTGAGGGCGCTGCTGTCGACGCGGAGCTCCCGCACGCCGCCGCCGACCATCCATTCCTTCTGCCTCGGGGCAGCGCCAAGGTAGGAGAAGGAGAAGGAGGAGAAGGAGGAGGAGGAGGAGGAGGAGGAGGAGGTGGAGAGGAGGAGGAGGAGGAGGAGGAGGAGGAGGAGGAGGAGGAGGAGGAGGAGGGAGGAGGAAAATGGGGAGAGGAGAGGAGGGAGGAGGGAGGAGGAGGGAGGAGGGGGGAGGAGGAGGAGGAGGAGGAGGAGGAGGAGGAGGAGGAGAACGAGGAGGTGGAGAGGAGGAGGAGGAGGAGGAGGAGGTGGTCCTGGACCCCAGCAGTGGTGACCCCCCCTTGGAGCCAATTGTTTGTCCTCTCGCGGCAACGCCCGTGATCGGCTCCCGCTCCACGATTCGCGGCGGCGCCGTCCGGGGATTTGACTTTCCAAGCAATTAGAACCAGCGCTGGCGCGAATCGTGACGCTACCAGCGCCCCCCTCCCCCCCTCCCTCCCCCAGCCTCGGGAGCCTCGAAATCCGACGGCGCGAAAAATTGAAACATGGTGTAAAATCACGACCAGAGCCCCTAGACCCTATCTTTCTGCTGCATATTTCGAGCCGGATCGATCTGTGAGGTTTCCGGGGCCCAGAATCGGGCGAAATCGCACGGCTCGAGCAAATTGAGAGGCCAAGATCTCAGCGAGAGCATCCCCAGGCACGCGACGTCCCGCTTTTTTCATGACCCTTTCCCCGGGACCGGTTTTTCATCCTGTCTCCCCTGACTTCGGATCCGCCGTACTTTGGTTGACTTTCCGACTTGGAATTGTGTCGGAAATGAACGCCAAACGATGCGAAACAGTATGACGGAAATGCCCACCTCAGGGAGAGATAGCGCGGATACTTCTGGAGAGTCGTGGCGAAAACAGCGACGGCAAAGTAGGGCGGAAAGCGGCATCGACGGCGCTCAACAAGCAGGGCGGAAATGTCCGCCCTGCTTGCGAAACCCACCAGAGCACGGCGGATCCGAAGTCGGGGCCGCCTTTTGAAAGCCCCGCAGCCCGGCGCGGGCTCCCAGAGGCCGCACACGGCCACAGACCTCCCGCCCTGACTGTTGCTGCGGCTCCCTCGCGCCACGGGCCCGAACCACAACCTCGCGCCGCGAACCGTCGAGGTTTCCCCTGGAGGCGCTGCTGCCCGGCGCCTGCCGGGGGAGCCGCGCACGCCGAAGAGGCGCAGCCCGCTCCTGGGCGGCGCGCACAGAAGGGGTGGAGGGACGGGGGAGGGCCTCTTGGAAGGAGGCTGCTTCTTCGAAGGCGCCGGCCTTACATCTGCAGAGAAGGCCCGCGCCTTCTAAGAAGCAGGGGTGCTTCTGAGAGGCCCTCCCCCCCCCTCCGCCAGCCCCCTCTGCGCGTGACTGAGCTCCGGCAGTCGAGCGAGAAGGGGCCGTCCATGCGGAGCTCCGCGCCGCCGCGCAGCGCCAGCGCGCGCTCGCCGTCCAGCCAGACGGTGAGGCTGCGGGGCAGGTCCTGCAGGGGAGCGCAGAGCCCCAGGCGCTTCTTCACGACGACGCCGCCGCCGCCGCCGACGGAGGACGACGGACGACGACGACCACGACGACGACGACAGACGACGACGACGGACGACGACGACGACAACGAAGACGACGACGACGACGACGACGACGACGACGACGACCACGACGACGACCACGACGACGACCACGACGGCCACGACGGGCTGCTGGGCAGGTCCTGGGAGGAGCAAGCCCCTGAGACCCTGACATTTCTCTGTAACTTTTTCACACGGGGGGCGCTTTCGCTCAGTTCTGGGGCCCCCAAGCAATCACAGATCGATCTGGCTCGAAGCATGCCGTAGGAAGATAGGGTTTGGGGCTCCAGTCGTGATTCCCCACGGTGCCGCACACACGTCCGAGCGACACCAAGGTCCGAAAACGGCACGGGATGAAGAGCTGGGTCCGTGGGGAGGGCCCCCCTGAGTCCAGTGCTCAGCGCCCATCTCCGAGAGGCCCGCGCGGACCTCCGCACCTTGTTTTTGGACCAGAAGACGCACGACACCACCCCGCCTGCGGTCCCACGGGGCTTATCGCATACCAGGAGATCTGGCGCGGGTTTTTGCGCGGTATACGCTACGGCCCCCGATGGGCCGTCGCGCAACATGGAGGGCCGTGGGTGGGGCGGTGTCGTTTGTTTTTGTCGATGTTCCAGCGCGAGAAAAAACGATATAAAATGTGTGTGATCCGCCGTCGGGGGCACCTGTCCCGGGCCAGCTCGACTCCTTGTTTCAGCGAGCGAAAAAACGGTATAACATCTGTCTGATCCGCCGTCGGGGGTACCTGTCCCGGGGTGGCTACGAAATGTGCACCCCTACGGCGGCAGATGGGGGTATAAGCTGTCCAGCCGCCCTGGGGCAGGGGTCCCGATGGCGCAACAATTCATTTCACACCGTTCTTTGCCCCTTGATTTCTCTGCCCGAAAGTTCACAGCTCTCGCCGCGACGTCGAGAACCAGAAAAGCAGCATGGGCAAGGGGGCAGAGGAGAAGGAGGAGGAGGAGGAGGAGGAGGAGGAGGAGGAGGAGGAGGGAGAGGGAGGAGGAGGAGGAGGAGGAGGAGGTGGAGGAGGAGGGAGGAGGAAGAGGAGGAGGAGGAGGAGGAGGAGGAGGAGCAGCAGGAGGAGCAGGAGGAGGAGGAGGAGGAGGAGGAGGAGGAGGAGGAGGAGGAGGAGGAGGGGGGGAAGAGGAGGAGGAGGACATGTCCGCGCGGATCTTGCGGATCGGCGCCGGTGCCCTGGCGCGCGCAGCGGGCCAAAGCCTGCGCTGGAGGCGCCGCCAGGGGTTGGCCCAGCGCCAGGGGTGCTGCCCCGGGCGCGCTCCGCGCGCCGGGGAGGGGGGCCGCATTGGCAGACATCGGCAGGCTAGAAGGCCTCCATTGAGACATGGGATCCCAAATCGGAAACCGTCGAAATCGAATCGAATCGGATCGGAGGAACCGGAATGAGCCCTGGGAGGCCGCAGATCCGAGAAATCCGCGCGCACCTCCGAGAGCGCCCGCTCTCCTTCTCCTCTGCGGAGCGGAGAAGTGCACTGCAGACCGCTCCCCGCCTGGACCCATCGGCCCCGCCTCTCTGCTGCACGTTTCCCTGGCCGCGGCAATCCGTGGCAACTCTGAGGCCCCAGATCCCCGACGTCGTGATTTTTGTCACAACGTCGACCCCCCTGGGTCTGGACCCCTTCCCCGGGACCGGCCTGTCATCGTCGTTTTTTGACGGCCCCGAGGCCCGGTAAGGGCCCCCGGGGGCCGAAAATAGCGAAACACCTCCCGCCGTGATTTTTGTTCCACACCGCGAGGGGGTCGGATCCCTGGGTCCAATCCTGGGCCCAAGATGGGCCTGGCCAGCACTGGCGCGGTAGAGGCGCATGGCCGGCGCCATTCGTACCACCCTTCGCCCGCTGACTTCCCTGCTCAGCCCAGGCACGCCATGTCTCCGAAGTCTCCCGAAGTCTCCGCCCCTTCCCGAAGTCGTGCCTGCCATCCCGAATCGAGGACTCAGCTCTCCGCTCGAACTGACACGGCAGTGGATGTGACCACTGCCGCGCCCCGCTCTCCCAAACCCCACGCAAGCACCCAGGTACACAAAGATCGCTTCTTCACACGCCGATCCCACAGATCCGATGTCGTGATTTCCTACCCGGCCCCCAGCAGTCTCGACCCATTCCCCAGGACCGGCTTTTTGTCCTTGCGTCGTTTTGTTGACGCTCCCGAGGCCCGGCGAGGCCCCCTGGAGGCCGAAAACGGCGAAAAACCTC